TCAAACTCAAAGGATAACAAGTATATCTTGCTACCTTTATTTACAATTAGGTCACACTACACTTTTTTTTTTTAACAAGTCGGCCGTCTCCACACCGAGGCAGGGTGACCCAAAAAAGAAAGAAAATCCACAAAAAGAAAATACTTTCATCATCATTCAACTCTTTCACCTCACTCACATATATTCACTGTTTTTGCAGAGGTGCTCAGAACACAGCAGCTTAGAAGCATATACGTACATATAAAGCATGTATGTATAGAGATACACAACATGTCCCTCCAAACTGTCAATATCCCGAAACCCTCCTTTAGAGTGCAGGCATTGTACTTCCTGTTTCCAGGGCTCAAGTCCGGCTATATAAAAATAACCGGTTTCCCTGAATGCCTTCACTAAATATTACCCTGCTCACACTCCAACAGATCGTCAGGTCCCAAATACCATTCGTCGCCATTCACTCCTATCGAATACACTCACGCACACCTGTTGGAAGTCCAAGCCCCTTGCCCACAAAACCTCCCTTACCCTTTCCTTCCAACCTTTTCGAGGACGACCCCTACCCCGTCTTCCTTCCCCTACAGATTTAAATGCTCTCCATGTCATTCTACTTTGATCCATTCTCTTTAAATGACCAAACCACCTCAACAACCCTTCTTCAGCCCTCTGACTAATACTTTTATTAACTCCACACCTTCTCCTAATTTCCACACTCCGAATTTTCTGCATAATATTTACACCACACATTGCCCTTAGACATAACATCTCCACTGCCTCCAACCGCCTCCTCGCTGCTGCATTCACAACCCAAGCTTCACACCCATATAAGAGTGTTGGTACTACTATACCTTCATACATTCCCTTCTTTGCCTCCATAGATAATGTTTTTTGTCTCCACATATACCTCAACGCAAATCTCACCTTTTTTCCCTCATCAATTCTATGATTAACCTCATCCTTCATAAATCCATCCACCGACATGTCAACTCCCAAGTACACTTACCATCCGACTTACGACCTGCTCGACTTACAACCACTCGACTTACGACCACTCGACTTACAACCGTGTTTTTTATGCAAAATTTCTGGGAAATAAACAACTACAGTGGACCCTCAGCTAACGATGGCATCACCTAACGTTAAATCCAGCTAATGATACATTTTAACGCAAACATTTTTGCCTCAGCTAACGCTAAAAAACTCACCTAACAATATTCGTTCTCAGGTACCAATTAATATTGTTAGGTGAGGGTCCACTGTATTTGTGTTGTACACAGTGTTTAACCTAAACCTTACAGTATAAAATACAGTACTAACAACATAAAAAGCAAAAACATGAAATACCAAAATAAAACAATAAAATAAAGTCATAACAAAAATGTTTTGTTGATATTCAGTAGTAAAGTTCGACTTATGACCGATTTCTCGGAACCGAACTCCGTCGTAAGTCGGATGATAGGTGTATCTGAAAACATTCACTTTTTCCATACTCCTCCTCCCCAATTTGATATCCAATTTTTCTTTATCTAAATCATTTGATACCCTCATCACCTTACTCTTTTCTATATTCACTTTCAACTTTCTACCTTTGCACACACTCCCAAACTCGTCCACTAACCTTTGCAATTTTTCTTTAGAATCTCCCATAAGCACAATATCATCAGCAAAAAGCAACCGTATCTATTCCCATTTTGTATCTGATTCCCCATAATTTAATCCCACCCCTCTACCGAACATCCTAGCATTTACTTCATTTACAACCCCATCTATAAATATATTAAACAACCATGGTGACATTACAAATCCCTGTCTAAGACCTACTTTTACCGGGAAGTAGTCTTCCTCTCTTCTACATACCATAACCTGAGACTCACTATCCTCATAAAAACTCTTTACAGCATTTAGTAATTTACCACCTATTGGATATACAGTAGGGCCCCACTTACATAGCGGATTAGGTTCCAGAACTAGGCATTAAAAACACACAAAGTAAAATACAGTCACAGTAAATTCATTACTTATCTTAAAGTATTTGTAATCTTAATGTAGGGAGAGAGGTGAGTAGTACTTATTTGAAGGAAGTCAGGTGCAGGTAGCCCAGGTGTATGTAGCACTGGCTCCCCGTCTCGTACTTAACATATGATATTTAAAACATCCCAGAGAGGTAAAATACACATACAGTGCACTCATTATTTACCTTAAAATATGTGTAGTCTTAATATAGGAAGAGAGGTGAGTAGTATTTATTTGTAGAAAGTCAGTGTAGGTAGCCGGTAGGTGTAGCCCGCCTGGGCTACACCTACCGGCTACCTACACCGTGGCCCAAAGCCATATTAACATCGACATGCCTTGTTCACTGAATTTAATCATTTCTAACAACTACCTTTAGATGCTATCATAAACAAAGGTAGAAGTAATGAATAATTCATGCCGAAAATTGTAAAAAAAAGCGGAGTGAGGGAGTGGCTGGGCCCAACGCAGATTCATACACGTTTCCTCTGATGGCTGAACAGAGAAAACGTAATGTTGTCCCTCCACCCGGCTACCACACAGCTCCACAAGTATTATCATCAGAGCACACATAAAATATGCAATAAATGCCAGACAACAAGTTTACACTAACTTATATTAAGTTAGCAATAGAAATAGGCATTAAAAACACAATAAAAGGTAAGATACACACAGAGTACACTTATTACTTACCTTAAAATATTAATATTAATGTGTGAGAGGTGAGTGGCAAGGTGTTTATTGAGTAAAATCAGAATGGCACACCATCATCCTCTAACTTGGCACTTAAAGCAAGAGGCTTACGACTTCTCTTTTCATTACAGCTAACCTTAGACGCCATCGTCAATGAGAGCGAACTAGTTAACGAGAGTAAACGAGAGAGAGAACGAGATACAGAGTTGAGACAATGTAAGAACACAAACTGAACAGGTAGTGGACGATCACTTGGTCAGGTGAAATAAATGCGTATTAATATGTTTCTACTTTTAGTTCATTCATGTCCATTTGTAAGAGTTAGTAAAACATTTACCTCAATATTTTTTTATTTTAATAATAATTACCTCACAATACAAATACTCTTACATTGTGTACAAGTTGTACAAGTTAGTTCAGAATAAACAAACAGCAATACACCATTTTTAGAGTGAATGAAGATAATAATAATAATAATAATAATAATAATAATATTATTATTATTAATATTAATATTAATAATAATAATAATAATAATTTATTATTATTATTTATTATAAAAAGCACTAAACCCACAAGGGTCGTGAATTGCTATACACAGAATAAAGGCATACGAAAAGAATATTTTTCTACAGTTATTCCCCAGTTTGACTAGAGAAAACGTAATTCTTCCGACACTACCTACACAGCTGCTTTGTAAACAAATCTCATACATCAATTTTTATTTTGAGTGTACGTATCATGCTTATATGCTATGTAATGGGTTTCATATATAATTTTGAGGAAAATATCATAGATGGATTAATAAAAATGCCTATATTGATGTAAAATAAGACATTTAGTGTGCCCAAGAGTGATTATTATTATGTAGTAATGGCATCATGAGTAGAGAGGGACTTAGCGATTTTAATGTGTACCTGCACACCAGCACAGTGTGTAAATATATTTAGGTACAGGTACACATAAGTATAATTATCAGAGTACACATAAAATATGCAGTAACTTTAAAACACTTGAAATTTTGGAAAGTTTCCTGACATAATAGATGTGGTCACAGAAAATGTAAACAAACCGGGTGGGGGGTGCCGTATTTGAAAGACCGCTTGCCGTATAGCAAATTTTAGTCATAATTTGACATCGCCATATTAGCGGAACACCGTAAGGCGAAACACCGTAAAGCAGGGCCTTACTGTATTTGCAGCATCTGCCACATTGCTCCCCTATCCACTCTATTATATGCCTTTTCTAAATCCATAAATGCAATAAAAACTTCTCTACCTTTATCTAAATACTGTTCACATATATGCTTCAATGTATACACTTGATCTACACATCCCCTACCTACTCTAAAACCTCCTTACTCATCCGCAATCCTACATTCCGTCTTACCTCTAATTCTTTCAATTATAACCCTACCGTACACATTTCCTGGTATACTCAGTAAATTTATTCCTCTATAATTTTTACAATTCTTTTGTCCCCCTTCCCTTTATATAAAGGGACTATACATGCTCTCTGAAAATCTCTAGGTACCTTCCCCTCTTTCATACATTTATTAAACAAAAATACCAACCACTCCAACACTATATCCCCCCCTGCTTTTAACATTTCTGTCATGATCCTGTCAGTTCCAGCTGCTTTACCCCCTTTCATTCTAAGTAATGCCTCATGCACCTCCCCCACACTCACATCCCATTCTTCTTCACTCCTAAAAGATGGCATACCTCCCTGTCCAGTGCATGAAATTACCGCCTCCCTTTCTTCGTCGACATTTAAAAGTTGCTCAAAATATTCTCGCCATCTACCCAAAACCTCCCTCTCCCCATCTACTAACTCCCCTACTCTGTTTTTAACTGACAAATCCATTTGTTCCCTAGGCTTTCTTAACTTGTATAACTCGCTCCAAAATTTTTTCTTATTTTCATTAAAATTTCTTGACAGTGCCTCTCCCACTATCATCTGCTCTCCTTTTGCCCTCTTTCACCACTCATTTATGTACACATTTATGTATACACACTCATCTGAATTTTCTTTGGTTTTTCTAAATAGTTCTCATTATTATTTTCCTTTCATATCCATGAGGAAATGGAATAAGAATTTTTCCTCCGTAAGCCATGCGTGTTGTAAAAGTCAACTAAAATGCTGGGAGCAATGGGCTAGTAACCCCTTTTCCAGTGCAGTTTATTAAAAATAAAAAGAAGAAAACTTTAAAGTTGGATGTTATATCAATCCTATTTTTAACTATCAAATTACAGCATATGAACACCAAAACTCCTAGGTAATTTACATTAAAAAGAACCTACTGTCTACAGGTGTGGCAATTATCTGGCTTGGCTGCAACAATTCCACTTGAGATTCCTCTGAAGTCACTTGCTGGTCTTTGCCACTTTCATGATCCTCCATACTCAACAATCCTTCACTGCTCTCATCCAGCTCTAACTCTCCCTCAGACATCACATTCTGACACTTGGAACATTGTACACATGCCTACAATATAAAATAAGTGAAGCATTGTAGTTTATCAATGTGTCATTAAACACAAGTTTAATAATTACCAATATTTGGTGAATAATTTTGCAAGATAATCAAACTCCTTTTTCAAATGCACACAAGCAAGAGACAGGCAAGAGAAAGTTCTTAATAGAAGCAACATGAAGAAAAGAATTCAAAAGAAAGAGAAAACAAATCTATAAAATTAAGACTGATGTTAATAAGTATAATTTGATCAAAGATGACAAAATCAATGGTAAATATCTATAATGCAGTAATATTTCATAAATCTTCTACTGTAAATTTAATTGTGAAAGGAATTTCTAACTAAAAGAAACACCTAAGCATTTGATTTTTTTTTCACAATTTTGCTTTGACAACAGTGAAATACACAGTAGTACAATTTCATAGTTAGACTTCATAAATGATTATATTTCTGTTTTACTCTTTCCTGCTTGAAACAACTCTTAAAAAATTTGCATTAAATTTTAACTCTTTCAATGAATAACAGATAGTTTTGACTGCAGTGACCAGATCCTAATACAGTGGACCCCCGGTTAACGATTTTAATCCGTGCAAGAGGGCTCATCGTTATGCGAAATAATCGTTATGCGAATGAATTTTCCCCATAAGAAATAATGGAAATAAAATTAATCCGTGCAAGACGCCCAAAAGTATGAAAAAATTTTTTTTTTACCACATGAAATGTTAATTTTAATACACACAAACTGAAAAAGGCATGCACAATTATATGACACTTACTTTTATTGAAGATCTGGTGATGATTGATGGGATGGGAGGAGGGGAGAGCATTATCTTCTTACTGTTTAGAAGGGGAATCCCCTTCCATTAGGACTTGAGGTAGCAAGTCCTTTTCTGGGGTTACTTCCCTTCTTCTTTTAATGCCACTAGGACCAGCTTGAGAGTCACTGGACCTCTGTCGCACAACAAATCTGTCCATAGAGCTCTGTACCTCCCGTTCCTTCAAGACTTTCCTAAAATGGGCCATAACATTGTCATTGAAATAGTCACAAGCACGGCTTGCAACAGCTGTGTCAGGGTGATTTTCATCTATAAAGGTTTGCAGTTCAACCCACTCTGCACACATTTCCTTAATCTTTGAAGTAGGCACAATGGATTCCACAACTGGCATAGGCTTCTCAGGGTTAGCCCCAAACCCTTCAAAATCTTTCTTAATTTCCATACTAATTCTCACCCTTTTTACCACAGGGTTGGCACTAGAAGCTTTCTTGGGGCCCATGGTCACTTATTTTCCAGAAACAGCACCGAAAATACTGTAATAATACGAAATATTCCGAGTGTATGCTTGGATGTTACCGCGGAGGCTGGCTGGTAAACAATGGGACGGAGCGGCACATGTGAGGCTGGCTGAGGGCACATTGGACGCGTCTCGGACGAAAATCGGTATGCGGGTTTTTAATCGGTATGCGCGGCAAAAATTTTGCGATAAAAGTAATCGTTATGCGGAAAAATCGCTATGCGATGCCATCGTTATGCGGGGGTCCACTGTATTAAACTAAAGAAATTAACAAGTACAGTACTTTTTTCTTTATTTTAGTAACAGCAACTTCATATACTAAAGTACATTATTTTAAAATATATTGTACACAGCTTACATATTAATGACGTTAATTACAAACCCTATTAGGTTCAGTAGTTTTGTTTATGAAAGCCGTGGTCCTGGCACTGTCACTGGTTAAGTAGTGAAGGTGTTGGGTTAAAGCCACTTCTCCTTCCTCCACTGATGTGTTCACTACTGCAGCACCACTGATGATCTCTCCGTCAGATACAGTGTAACAAGTGACATCACTTGCCTGCAAATGGATATGTGGTAAAGATAAAAATAATTAAATAATGATGCTTTACACTGCAACACACTAATAGTATATTAATATCATTATTATTATGAATCCATAATTTGGAGAGGAAACTTTAAACAATGCTTCTGTCCATGTAGGACTATTATTAAGTCACAACTAAGAGAGAATAGTGGGAAAACAAGAAGGCAGATGAAGTGAAAAGTTAAGTAGATAGAAAGCAAGTCTGAAGAGGCAAGGAGAAAATCATGACAGGTCAAGAGAACAAGTGAGGAGAAAGACAATAATGTTAAGTCACACTGTGTGCTGAGGATTAGAACTACTTAGAGAACAGTTGTAAAGTGTTCCAGCCATGGTACCTTGATTTATTTCCTTCTCCTTTATTAGTGAATATGCAGTATTCACTGTGTATTTTATATACTGAAGGTGTGACATTCTGATGAGAGGACAGAGTGTACGCAACAGGGCACTAAAGAGGAGGTCAAATTGAATTCCACACATTCTTTGATACCAGGAAAATCAACCAAAAGCTGACTATCAACCAGGCCTGACAAGTTTTGCAGAGGCAAGGAAAGCAGCTGGAATACAGAGACAAGCCACAGCAATGGTCTGAGAGACAGATAACATCATAGCTACTGAGGGAAGCAGTTATGGGCTTGACATTACACAACCCATTACCAGATGCATACAATATGGATAAATTTAACAGTGCATATAATGCTGACAAATGTAAGAATACTGTTCAGGAGCCTGAAGGAATGTTTCTGATAGCATGAACCACTTATGACATGCTGTGGCCAGTGTAGCCATACCATCATCTCAATTTTAGAAAAAAAAAGTCTTAAAACAATTGTTTTAATGTATAAAAAGAAATACATTATTTTTATACACTTTCACCATTATTCAACACTTTCACCATCATTGACACATAATCACTGCCTTTGTAGAGGAGCTTAGATACGAGAGTTTAGATGTCACTCCAAACAGCCAATATCCCAACGTGCAGGCATTGTACTTTCCACCTCCACGACTCAAGTCCAGCAAATCGGTTTTTCTGAATCCCATCACAAAATATAACTGCTCACACTCCAACAGCTCATCAGGTCCTAAAAATATTCATCTCCATTCGCTCCTATCTAACATGCTCACACATGCCTGCTGTATGTCCAAGCCCGTTGCACACAAAACCTCTTTTACCCCCTCCCTCCATCCTGTCCTAGGATGACCCCTACCCTTTATCCCCTTCACTACAGGTTAATACACCTCTCTAAATAACCAAACCACCTTAACAACCCCTTTGAATAATAATTTTACTAACTCCACACCACCTCCCAATTTCCACACTACAAATTCTCTGCATAATATTTACACCACACATTGCCCTTAGACACATCTCCATTGCCTCTAGCCTCGTTCTTGCTGTAGCAGGAGGCCTGGTCACAGACCGGGCCGCGGGGGCGTTGACCCCCGAAACTCTCTCCAGGTAAACTTCAGGTAAACCCATGCTTCACACCCATATAAAAGTTTTGGTACAACTATCATACATTACCTTCTTTGCCTTCTTGGATAACGTTTTTTGTCTCCACAGATACCTCAATGCACCACCCACATATTTTCCTTCATCAGTTCTATGGTTAACCCCGTCCTTCATATACCCATCCACTGATAAGTCTACTCCCAATTATCTAAATACATTCACTTCTTCCAATGTGACATCCAATTTTTCTTTACCTAAATCATTTGATACCCTCATCACCTTACTCTTATCTACTTTCACTTTCAACTTTCTTCCTTCCAAACTCGTACACTAACCTTTACAACTTTTCTTTATAATCTCCCAGAAGCACAGTATCATCAGCAAAAAGTAATTGTGTCAACTCCCATTTTGTATTTGATTCCACATAATTTAACCCACACCCCTCTCCCCAACACCCCAGCATTTACTTCTTTTAGTAACAACAACACCTATAAATATGTTAAACAATCATGGTGACATTACACATTCCTGTCTAAGGCATACTTTTACTGGAGAGTAATCTCTCTCTCTTACACAACCTAACATAAGCCTCACTATCCTCATAAAAGCTCTTTACAGCACTGAGTAACTTACTACTTACACCTACTCCATACACCTGCAACATATGCCACACTGCTCCCTTATCCACCCTATCATATGCCATTTCTAAATCCATAAATGCAATGAAAACTTCCCTACCTTTATCTACATATTGTTCACTTACATGCTTCAGTGTAAATGCTTGATCTATACATTCCCTACCCATTGTCAAGCCTCCTTGTTCATTTGCGATCCTGCTCTCTGTCTTATCTCTAATTCTTTCAATAATACACTTTACATGGTATACTCAGTAAACTTATTTCCCTATAAATTTTACATTCTCTTTCGTCTCCCTTCCCTTTATATAAAGAAACTATACATGCTCTCTGTCAATCCTTAGGCGCCTTCCCCTCTTTTATACATTTACTGAACAAAAAGAACTAACCACTCCAAAACTATATCCCCTCCTGCTTTTAACATTTCTGTCATCATCCCATCAGTTCCAGCTCCTTTATTCTCTCATTTTACCCAATCCCTCACATACCTCCCCCACACTCACTTCTGGCTCTTCTTCACTCCTAAAAAATGTTAAACCTCCGTGGCCAATGCATGAAGTTACTGCCTCCCTCTCTTCATCAACATTTAATAGTTCCAGAAAATATTTTTGCCATCTTCTCAATACTTCCAATTTCCCATCTACTACTCTGATATTCTGTTTTTAACTGTTAAATCCATATAGGGTGTCCAGTAGCTCGATCGCTACCACATTCAGCTCACACGCTGAGGTCCAAGGTTCAATTCCATGGTATGGCAGGAAACATCAGGATGTGTTCCTTTAAGACACCTACTGTCCGTGTTAACCCATCAGTAAAATGGGTACCTGGGTGTTAGTTGACTGGTGTGGGTTGCATCCTGGGATAAAATTTACCTAAGTTGCCCAAAATGCTTTGCATAACAAGCGGGTTTCTATACAGTAGTATGCCACTGATATCAGCTAGGTCTGTGTACTTGTATGTACATGTACTTGTAGAAATAAAGACTTTTTTTTTCATTAACATATCAGCCATTTCCCACCATTGTTGGGTGCCCTGAAAAAGAAAAACTTTCATCATTTACTCCATCAATATCTTGCCAGAGGCATGCTAACACAACAGTTATAAAACTGCAACATTAACACCCTTCCTTCAGAGTGCAGGCACTGTACTTCCCATCTCCAGGACTCAAGTCTGGCTTGCAAATTTCCTTGAATCCCTTCATAACCTTGCTCACACTCCAACAGCACGTCAAGTCCTAAAAATCATTTATCTCCATTCTCTCCTATCTAACATGCTCATGCATGCTTGCTGGAAATCCAAGCCCCTCCGTGGCCAATGCATAAAGTTACTGCCTCCCTCTCTTCATCAACATTTAATAGTTCCAGAAAATATTTTTGCCATCTTCTCAATACTTCCAATTTCCCATCTACTACTCCGATAGAGAAGTTGCAGAGATTGGTGGATGAATTTAGTAGGGTGTGCAAAAGACGAAAATTAAGGTGTCATACAGGGAAAAGGAGTAAGGTTCAATGAGATGATTAAAAAGAGAATATAGGTCGATGAAAGATTGGAATATCAGATTGGGGGATGAGAGTAATGGAGGAGGATGATGTATCAGATATTTGTGAACGTGGACAGATCACTTATATAAATTCTGGTGTCGCCGGAAAACGAGGTCTATGAAGGATGAGGTGAAATCATAGATCATTGCTGAGCGCGGCCCGCGTGAGTGGTAGCACTTATTGATGTTGTGAGCAGACCACAGCCTTTATTATGTTCCAATGGAAGGCCAAGCGGGGAATGTGGGCATGAGAATGAATTCTAGTTTTTATCAACGCTCCTTATATGGGTTGTGACAGCATGGCCGTGATGAATGTTTGCATGCGAGAAGCAATGGCCTTGGAGCAAGTGGACAGACCAATGTCCTTGTATTGTGGCATATGTCTTTGGTGGTGAATTATAAGCAGCTCATTCGCTCAGAAAATTCCTAACTTGCCGAAGGCTGCCGCGCATTACCCAAACTGTTGTACCAGAAGCGCTAATCACTGAATACTGAAGGGTTGTTTGAGGTAGCGTCCTCTGGTACATGGTATGCGAGAATATGGAGCGAAAACATGATTGACTTAAACTTAGTGTTTATCTAAGTACTGTAGTGCAGATGAAGCGCGATGGATAGGGTGTAGCTAGGAATGTTGAACGCTGATGGGAGGGTAAGTGAGTGTTTGTGTGCGAGTGTTTGAATTCGCGGCTGCATGCAAAATGAGGTTGATGATAGGAATGTTCCCTGTATCACCCCCCCATGAGTCATTCTTACTACCTGACGTGCAGTTGAGACGTAGTGAGCAAAGTTAAACAATTTATTGAAGGGGTACGGGAAACCTGCAAGCCGGACTTGAGTTGAAGAGGATAAAGACATACAGCTTCTAGCACTTGAAGGAGTGAGCGTGTTAATTAATCCTACCCCCTTTAAGTGACTCCAAATCCTCCATTCATTAATCATTTTCTAGAATTGATGCGTTCAAGAAATTTAATTACGGCCCCTGCCTTGGAGCGACTTCAGCCAGTGATACCCCCCCCCCCACAAAAATACTCGCTATTCTGTTTACAAGTTATATCCTCCAATATCGGTCCAGTAGAGCAATACCATACATTCATGATAGGTCGAGTGTTTCAATTTCACGGTCTGGCATGGAAACCTCAGGATGGGTTCCTTTTATAAGGACACTCCTCCAACTTTCACTAGACCACACCTACCACCTTTCCCCTCCACTACTAATTATATACATTCTGAAGTTCACTCTTTTGTTCCATTACCTCATCAACCTGCGCACCCCTGAAAACCTTCTCAGGATTCTGGATAATATTTTTAGGTACTCCACATTCATATTTCAAACTACTTATTCTCT